TCTCCCAACTCCTTTTTCTCAAGGTAAAGACGTGGTTGGGCTCTGCCTGTGTCCTGCTTGCCGATGACCTAGAAAGTGTTCATGCTGGGGTGCAGCTGCATGGCCTGCCTCACTGGTCTTCTTCCCCTGTGGGATGCTGACCACCGTGGCCTCTAAGTCACTGTCTCAAGTGCCCCTCCTTCCTTTGCTTCATTTGGTTTTTTATTTGTTTCACACAGGAGAGTAGATTCGCTGGATATTCCAGGGCCTTGGCTAAAATCAGTAATAAGTCCTCACTGGTTTTAATTTCCTCTTTATAATTACTAGAGATCTGAGATTCTTTTCATGTTTCCTGAGCACTGGATTCGTGGTCTCTCAATTCGCTGTTCATCTCAGCTCAAGGAAATGTGTGTGGTTTTCTTTGTAACCTGGAGTTTTTCTTCATACATTTTATAGATTGATCTTCAGTCAGCTTACATTGGTTGTTGCTATCTTTTCTGAGATTTAATTTTCTCTTGCTGTTTGAAACTATGTTACATTAATGAAGAAAATTTTCAACTTTTAATGGAGTCCGATGTGTCAATTTCTGTTATGGTGATCGCATTGTTTCTGGCTTAAGAAATCACTCGTTTTTTCCCTTGTTTCCTTTTTTTTTTTCTTTTCTTACCTGCAGTTCTGAGATGGAACCCAAGACCTTGCATGCTAGGCAGACGCTCCTCCACAGAGCCACACCTCGGTCCTGCCCTAAGTCATTGAAGTATTCTACCATATTTTTTCTAAAAGCTTGGAAGGCCTGTGATATGTGGGTCTTTCATGTATCGGGATTGATTTTGCGCTCCACCTTTGTTTCATTTTCTTTTCAGTGGGAAGGGCCAGTGTTCCCAGCACTATTTCCTGACTAGTCTGTGCAGAAGAGCTGCCACATTGGCCTGAGTGAGGCTCACCCTTGGAAAATCCTGTTCCCTCGGTGGGCTCTGGGCTGGCATCAGAGACATTGGGTTCCCAGAGGGCTCCTGTTCTCCCTTAGTTTGCTATGCGGGACTCCCTGAGCCTGAAGTGTGTGTACAGACAATGTGGTGTGTGCTGAACATTTGCCTGCCTTCTGGGAGGTGGGATTTGGGGTATGTCAGGCAGGGATTGCCTGCAGGACCAGCCCTGATGAAAACCCTGGGCGTTGGGCCTCTGATGGCAGCTTCCTGGCTAGGGATAGGATGCACATGTCATCACATCCATGGCCCGTGGTGGTCAGCATGTCCTGGCTCCATCAGGGGAGGACTTCTGGAACCTGTCACCTGGCTCCCTGGGTACCTCATTCTGTGTGGCCGGTCCTTTTACCGATTGTTCTGTACCCATTTGCCATAATAAATCATAGCCACGATGGGACTGTGAATTAGATCCCAACTCACTGCCCTTTCTCCTCTGATACTACTTCCTGAGAAGTAGTTGCTGGGCAGTGTACGTAGACGTAAATTTCTTCATCTGAGCCCTTCCCTGTCAGGTGTTTTATAAAGTATCTTGCATTTTGTATCATTCAGTAAATGATCATTGCTAACCTAAGAAAGAAAGAGAGAAGGTGCCATAGCAGTTTAGGGAAGGTTATTAACTATTCAGGAGTAAATCTTTCAAGCAGATATATTTTGTTTTTATAATTAGTGAAATAAAATTTTCTGTATCTATTTAAAATTGGCAATCATAATTTTTTAGCATCTTGTAATATTTATTATTCCTATAATATGTTTGGTTTGAAATTTCCCACCTCTCTGGTCTTTGTTTTCGTTTTTGGTTTTTTGTTTTGTTTTGTTTTGTTTTGTTTTTTTGAGACAGGGTCTCACTATGTAGTTGAGACTGACCTGGAACTCACTATGTAGTCCAGGCTGGTCTCGAACTTACAGCAATCCTCCTGCCTCAGCCTCCAGAGTGCTGGGATTACAGGCTTGCACCACCATGCCCAGTGCACCTCTCTGGTCTTGTCTGAGAATTTAAAATCCCAAGGTAGGGCCGGGAGTTTAGCTCCGTGGTGCCACCACCTGCCTTGCTAAGCGCAAAGACCTGAGTTCGATCCCTGGTACCAAATCAATCAATCAATTAATCAATCAAACCCCAAGGTTATGGAAGAGGCTTGCAGTCCACCCCTGTGATTTCTAACCCTCAAGCTATTTAGCCAGTTACTTTCATTCCTGTGTTATTCATAATTGGTTTTGCAGTTACATTAAGATTTTTTTAATTTTTTTTTTTTATTTTTACTTTTGGTATCAGGGATTGAACTCAGGACCTTGCGCTTGCAAGGCAGGTGTGGTACCACTGAGCCACATCCCCCGCAAGGCTTTTTAAAGACATGTCTACAGTTTAACATGTTTTTCTAAAAGTGTTATGATCATCTTTGCATAGTTCTCTCTTCATATATTTAGAAGCAGGTCTTTCTTTTGTACTGTGGTTAATATGGTGGACTTTGGCTGCCCACAAGAGGGACGCACGCACGGGGCCCTGTGTCTGTTGTAACACAGCTGACTAGGAACCTGCTAGTGAAACTGCAGTGATGACATGTTTGTCCATTTGGCATCTTTGATCCCATAAAAATTCACAGTGCCTGCCGTGAGCTCCTCTAGTGATTTTCTCTGGTGTGTGTGCAATTGGATCAGTAGTGTCCAGATCATTTCGTCCCCTAATGAGGGAATCACATAATCACGCCTGTTTTAGAAACTGTTCTGGGTTGAACTTAATGCCTTAAATCACAGAGTCTCCTGATCTTTGCTAATGACTCAGATGCCTCTCTTCACTCATGTGTGACCCTACTTGGAGCTCCATAAACAGGTCTGGCACTATCACTTGTTTCCAAATAGCATCTAAAAGAGGATTTGCTTTTTCTGCTGATTTTTAAACATCTGATATAAACCCATTTTGAGCATCTGCAGGGCCATTTCCAAGGCAGAACCATTCTTTCCGATGATTTACCCTCTCTGCCACCCTGCCCGCCGCATTATGAGTGCCAGCCGGCCAGTTGGCCTGAAGTTATTGTCATATTTTGTCATAATTGGGCCCCATTATGTGGCTGTGCTGAGCCGCTTTCCTGACTTAGAGGTGGAAATGTTATCGAGTCAGTGACTCTCCAAGCATGCTAAATCGGGTGGACCCTCAGCCTGCTCTCTGCTCGATCAGGAGGGCTGATGTTGTGCATCATTGTGGAGAGTGCCTTGTTTTTACTGAACTGGTACATTAAAGACCTCGCATATTATTAGGGTGATGTGATTTTTTAAATTTCACTGTTACTATTATTCTGGTTTTTATTTTTATTCATTTAGTTTTATTCTGGCTTTTAATACAAAAATTTATACAGAATCATTAGAGAATAACAGTGATTAATATGCCGTGCGATGTTTTGATTCATGCATACATTATATAATGTTTAAGTCAGGACAGACATATCTATCTCCTCAACCGTCTATCACTTCGTTATGATGAACACATTCAAAAGCCTTTCTTCTGGCTTTTTGAAATGCACATTGTGCGATTGTTCTGCAGTCAGGTGGCTGCATTACCACACAGGAGCATCTTGCTCCTAACAGTCATGTTGGCCACAACAAGCTGCCCCAGTACTGGTGACTTAGGCAGTCGGGATCCCCAGTGCACCAGCCCAGCAGTGCCCTCAGGGACCCAGGGTCTCTCCCTTTGGGCACTGTTTCCCTGACCTGTTGGTTTTCATCTTCATGCTTGCTGCATGGTGGTCTCAGAGGAGCTGCACCAGCCAGATATGGGTCCCCTTTGATAGGGAAGCAGACACTTCCCTAGGCCGCCCCACCACAGGGGACTTCTGCTGAGGCCCCCCTGGTCAGATCAGGAACCCGTGGGTGTTCCTGGACTCCAGGGAGTCCCAGAAAACAGGGAGGAAGAACATCTATATTGGCTTGGATCTGTCACCATCCTTCCCCTAAGCGTGACACCTGGCTGCCCTGGAGCAAACCAAGTTTCTGCTGGCACGGAATTGGTGGTGGGGCTGCATGGGCACACGGTTGCAGTGTTGGCTGCGGATCTGCGTCTCTTCCTCTCCCACAAAGGCCACACCCACAGCTGGGTGTCATGCGCTCTCCAGGATAGCCTGGGTGTGTCACCTCTTTGTCAGACTGGCTGAAGTGGCTTCCCCTGCGTGGTGGGACAGGGGCTGACCTCAGATAGTTATCACAAATCCAGAGTCAGTAGAGATCTGGCCATGCCCCTTCCCAGCTTTTCACTGTTCTCTGCCACACTGTGCACCAGCCTGTGCCCCTCTGTAAGGTCCCACGCTCTGTTCTCACCTCTCCTACCACAGGGCCATGCACCTACTGTTCATTGCCGAGAATTCTGTTTCATCTCCCCCAGCATCATTACCAGCCACCCAGTGAAGCTGCTCTTGGCCTCCTAAACTGACTCAAAACCCATGATTTATGAAGCAGAGTTTCAAGTACTTCCTTCTTCTTAACACTCACATTCATAGTTTACATTTACTGTATTTGTGAGTTTCTTTAATTGCCCTCTTCAGTAGCCAGTAAGCACCTTGAGTATAAGGACCAGCCATGATTATAGTCATGATTTGTATTCATTAGTAATGTTTTTGCCTCCAGGTTTAAAAAATTTTGTTAAATAAAGCAGGACTTGTTTTTCTCATATAACAAGGCTAAAGGTAAGCAGCTTCTGGCATTGGTTCTGTTACTTTACAGTCATGATCAGCATCTCTGCCATTTTCTTATTTTCCTCATAATTGCAAAATGGCTATTGTAGACCAGCCATCACTTCTCTGTCTTTAAGAGAAGAACAAGGGGCGGGGGATTTAGCTCAGTGGTTCCCCAAGCACAAGGACCCAAGTTTGATCCCCTGTACCTCCCCGCCCAGAGAGAGAGAGAGAGAGAGAGAGAGAGAGAGAGAGAAGAACAAGGCAGGGAGTCAGTGCCAATAATACCTGATCCGTCTGTCTATCAAGAAATCAAGTTTCCCTGGAATGCCCGTAGCTAATTTCTGCTTATTTCTCCTTGTCATTTGTGCACTTGTAGCCAGAGAGGAGGATGCAAACCACATGGACAGCTTTTCCAGCGTCTGTAGTGGAGGTGAATCCCCCTCATTTGATCACTCAGTCGGTGTCCATGGTAAGCCGATCTGCATCCTCCGCACCCTACACACATATTTTATTATCTTGATGACAGTTTTAGCAAGGTGGGCATTATTGTTTTTAGTTCATGATTAGAATCTCAAGAAGAATAAATACTCATAGGAGTATGCACTTAGGAAAGGGAGAAATGCAAAATTCAGACCCAAACCTGCCTCCCTCCCAAGCCTGTTCACCTGCTGCAGTGAGGCCGTGCCTCCCGGAACAGCCACCACGTAGCCTAGGAGCCGAGCACTAACAGCCTGCATTCACTCTGGAGAGCGTCGGTGTTAACTGTGTTTTGACAAAGCAGTTTGCTAATAATATTGCAATTGAATAACTTGGAGTGATTTTTGTATTTGGGATCTAACGAAGTGGCATTCATTTTACAAGCAAGGTTATAATTTTTAGTACAGGGCCTTGTATGGTAGCCTTCTTAGTAAGCATTTACCCAACAGTTAGTACTCTTAAGACTAAATAATTTACATAATGTTTTCCTGTTTAAGTAGGAAAAGCACTTTGCCAGGACACTTTCCCTTTATTATTCCTAAAAAAATCTAGCATTCTTCTTTCAGAATAAATGTAACAGTGATCATCTATATTCACATCTACAGCTCGCAGTTATGCATTTGAGAACTAAAATATTCTGAGACATTTCATCCCTGCAACATGTTTTTTTAATAACACACAGGGGTTTTTGTGCATGTGATTATAAAAGTAATAGATGTGCAATTGAAAGAAATTGAGGGAGAAGAATGACAAAAATCACTCATAATTGTGTACCACCCAGAGGCAATAACTATTAACATTTCTGGCATATTTCCATCCCGATCTTTTTTTATTTTTTTGTATAGCTGAAGTCATACATTATTTGCAGTTTTGTGTGCTGCAGTTTTCCATGTAACGTAAACAGACTTCTTTGTTACTACAAGCGTCACGGTGAATGGCTGCAGGATGTCTCTCCATGGAGCATGCACCGTCTTTTCCTGGGCATTCTTCTCTTGATGGACGTTTGGATTATCTCACAGATTCGTGCCATTTGCCTTCCATTGCTAAATTGCCTAGAAAAAGAGAAAGCTTATCCAAATCCAAACACACACGCTAACAGGCCCTTTACCTTCACCGAAACTGTGCTAGCAATTTATTACTGCAGAGGCGTCAGTCTTCATGACTGTCAGGATGACTTTTCCCTGATTGAATGAGATGCTGGCATTTTTAGATTTTAAAAAATGACCAGATCTGTCAGTTGTGTACGCAGGTGTTCCCTGACACAGGGAGGATGATTCCAAGAAGACAGACTTGTCCTTCCTGCTGGGTACTTCCAGTGCTCTGTGTCTGCCCACCATTCATTCAGTTCTTCTTCTTCCTCTTCTCCTCCTCCTCCTTCTTCTTTTTTTTTTTTTTTTTTTTTTTGATTTTTTTAGACAGGGTCTCACTATGTAGTTGATGTTGACCTGGAACTCACTATGTAGCCCAGGTGGCTGGTCTCGAACTCACAGTGATCCTCCTGCCTCAGCCTCCCGATGCTGAGATTACAGGCGTGCGCCACCATTCCTGGCTTCCTCTTTCTTCTTTTTTTTTTTTTTTTTTTTTTTTTTTTCGTGGTACCGGGGATTGAACTCAGGTCCTTGAGCTTGCAAGGCAGGCCCCCGAGCCGCTGAGCTAAATCCCCAGCCCTTTCCTCTTTCTTCTTGAGGTTTAACCCCCACCCCACCCCACCACTGCTGCTATATGTGCTTCTTAGGAGCCTTTGGACATAGAGGGCTGAACTCATTAGACCATCTGGTAACTTCATTCTTCTAGCATTGCGACCAGTGGAGTAGCCAGATATTGGAAGCTCAGTGCAGAGCTTGCTCATCCTTGCTGGAAACCCTGCAGGGCCTGCCCATTGCTCCCAGCATCCATTCAGGCCCTTTGTGGTATCTACAGAGAGAGCTGTCTGCCCTCCTGCTGTCACTTGTCTCTGAGTGCCCCAGCCCTCACCTGAACTGCAGCTGTTTGGTACTTTAAGGCTCTTTCCCTGCAGTCTTCTCTCTTCCTGCTCTTGCTGCACCTGAACTCCCCGCCCCACCGTGTTTGTCAGTCTACACCCTGGCGTCATTTCTGGGTATCCCTTTATCTTTTTGTTTGTTAGCTGCTCTGGGGGTCGGAGCCCAGGCTTCACACAGGCTGCGCGAGTGCTCCGCCCCCGAGCTTCGCGCCCACTTCTGCCGCTCCTCTCTGCACCTGTCTGCTGTGTGAAGTTTCAGGCCTTCCCATTCCCGCTGTTCATCCAGCACCTGCACAGATTTATTTCTCTCGACAGCAGTTGGCATCGTCTAATAAACTGTGTATTAACTGCACCGACAGACGGACTTCCGTCACTAAAGCATAAGCTCTCCAAGATCAAGACCGCCTCGAGTGAAAGCCAAAATTCAGAGGTGTTCAGCTTTCTCCTTATCTGTTAATGCAGCCAAGTCATACACGTGGCCCCTGACTTGGAATGGCTCAGCTCAGACTTCTTCAGCTGTGCAGCGGCGCTAAAGCAGTTCACATTCAGTAGAAACTATTCTTTGAATTTTGAATTGGTTTCTCCTGGGCTGGCGATGTGAGTCTGATGCTTTCTTGACATGCAGGGCAGCAGCGGCACAGCCCCTCAGCCCACACTCCAGGGCGCTGTGTTGTGGAGTTGGGTGCTCCATAGGGTTAGGTGGACTCGACACATTTTCAATATATATTTTCATTGTAGGATGATGGGCTTATCAGGCACAACCTCAGCATAAGCTGAGGAGCATCTGTATTTTGGGTTATGATACACATGGTTTTCAGCCCACTACCGAGTTTGGGGTCATCTGAAGTTCCAAGCCACTTCACACCCAAAACTCTCCCGTGCCCTGTTCACTCAGACCTAGTCAGAACACAGAATTCCTGAAACCAAGTGTGGTCAGACCCCAAAGCCCAAGGGATCCTGATTCCTAGAGTTGTTTGTGCGTGGGTGGGGAGCAGTTCTTCTTTTCTGCTTCCGCTACAGTGGAAATGATGGCCCATAATGAGTCTACGCTTAATCCTCTTCTTCCACTGGGGTTAATCTAAATCTGACTTTATTTTCTCACCAGGACACTGAAAGTGCAGGCCCTTTTAATCTCTTGCAGGAGCATCACCAGCACAGGAGCAAATCTGGACAGAGAATGCCTTTGCATAGCACCTCTGTGAGCAAGGCATCTCTTCACCAGTCTTATTTTATCTGTAATAATTCACATTTATGTAGGAGTTGCTGTGTGCCAAGCATTGTAAGAGCTTTGTAAACATATGAACTTACTTAATCTTCATAACAGTCCTATAAAGCGGGTGGTCTAATTATACATATTGCTATACTGGCTGTAATTTATCTATGGGGAAAGGACACCTGGATCTCAGTGCAGATCTCTTTATCACCACACTCGGATCTTGCCATCAACTTTCCCTAGGGAAAGGCAAGATACTCATCCCATGCAGGGAGCACAGCATGGGCAGATTCTCAGGCCTTCAAAGGAGGGTTGCACACAGGGTCTCCCAGCATCTGTGCATATAAGGTTTCTCTGACTTTCTTCTGCTGATGACCTTCTAGGCCCTTCCTCTCTGTATATGTATTCTCCTGATTCTGTCCCAGCATTCATTGGGGTGTCTCTGCCTTAACTGGTCTCTGAAGTCTGGGTTTGGGTGTGGACAAGCAGGGAGGAAGGAGCTTTTGAATGTGAGGAAGGCAGGAGCCCTCCAATGCCTGGCCCTGGCCCATCCCTGTGTGCCTTGACTCCCTCTTGTGTCTTGGTTTCCAGCTGGTACTCACCCTGCCACATAGGCCCATGCTGGCTTCCACTGCTTCCCTCATCTACTCTGATGGAGCATGTCTTAGTTACTCTTCTCATTGCTGGGACAAAATGCCCTACATCCAAAGTTGAAGAGGAAAGGTTTATTTAGCTCACAGTTTGTGGTGGTTCAGGTTAGTAGTCAGCTGATTCCAAGGCAGGGTGGCATGGCAGAGGGGCATCACAGGGGAGAAATAATTCATGGTGGGCAGAAGGCAGCAAAGTAGTAAAAAGCAAAGCAGCAATGACAAGTGACAAGCAGTAACTCTCTTTCTGTCCCTTACATCATATCCAGACTACACTTAGGGCTGATAGCACTCACACCCAGGTTGGGGCAGCCTTAATCCTAACGTCCCACCATGAATCAACCCCAGCAGCACTTTCTTGATCCCAGCAGCACACACCATAGATCCAGCTACCTCTGAAAAGCCCTACCTATGACTGCATGAGGCTTTGGAAGGACATCTAGATACAAGCCATAGCAACGGATGTCATGAGTACCCTCCTCATAGGGGAGTTGAAGTGACCCCTGGAGCCAGGCATTTAAATACCTTTGGAGGCAGAAAAGTTATTTTTTAATTGCAAAAATTATTATGTAATACCTTCTGTAGGTTACAGAATTTCTAATTTAAAGTAACCAGTAACAAGGTTATGATTTAAATCTGTACTTTTTCTATTTATCATTTTCCATCTTTGTCAGTATTACGTGTGCACACGGACTGACAGATCACACTGTTGGGCACAGCACACTGGGAAAAGTAGTGACTCGACTGCTCACACTGAGAGGATAGCTTGATAGTTTGGCTGGGTATAGAGCAATAGGTGAAGGAACATTGCTTTCTCAGAATTTAAGTGGCTTTGTCCCTACCCCATTCTATGTGGATTTTTAGAAATTCAATTCAGTTGTGATTCTTGATTCTTGTGATTCTTGATCCTTTATGTGAAACTGGAAACACAGAGGATCTTCTTTGTTTTATCCAAGGCTCAGGTAACACTGTAAGTTACCTTGAAAGGCATCTATTTGATTTGTCTAAATTCATGCCTTTCCTGTCTGAGAAATCCTTCTGATAATATTTTATCAATTTCTCCGTGTTTATTTCTCTTACAATATATTTTCCAGTACTTATTCTTTAAATGTTGCATCTCCTTTCTAGCCACTAAATACCACCCCATTGTT